TGTTTAACGGCATTCCAAACTTTTATCATGCCGAAAATGATTTTGGTATAGCTGGCAACATTATTTTTCAAAAACGTGTAGCTGGCAACATTATTTTTTTTAAAAACGTATAACTGACAACATTATTTATTTATTTTTTTTTTAAATAAAAACATCAACCTTTCACAGTGTTTTGACCTCAGGTACAATTCCATTGAATAAGATTTTGTTAAAAGACATATAGCTGGTAATTTTTTTTTTCTTTTTTAAACGTATAGCTGGGAATATTATTTTTAAAAAAAATGTACAGCTAGGAATATTATTTTTCCAAAAACGTATGGGTGGTAATATATTTTTTTTCAGAAACGTATGGCTGGTAATATCATTTTTCAAAAACATACTGCTGGCAATATTATTCCTTCGAAAACGTAAAGCTGGTAATACTACTTTTCCAAAAAACCTATAGCCGACAATCTTAATTTTTCAAAAACGGCCTTTCTGTTGGACGTAGTTTATCGCCATACCGAATATGTGGATGCAGTTTACCGTCATGCCCATGGATGTGGATGCAGTTTACCATCATGCCCATGGACGCGGATGCAGTTTACCGTCATACCCATGGACTCGGATGTAGTTTATCGTCATACCAATGGACTCGGATGTAGTTTATCGTCATACCCAGGACGCGGGCTAGACAGGGAGTTTACTATTTGCCCATAGCTGGGACCTTAACAGGTGCTACCACCCCGAGTCAGAATGGACCTGGGAACATCAACAATTAAGAGGTGGTTCCACGCTCCTCAAAACCTCCTGATCCGAAGCCTTGCTGTTGGATGCAGTTTATCGTCTTACCCAGGACCACGAGTATTCATTGGCATCACAAAATTATCGAACGAGTGTTCGTTAACACCACAAAACTTCCTAACCATTTACTTGGAATTGTGTGAAACATCAAAATTTTCATTATTTCTTTGTCTTTATATGTGCTTATACATTACCATTTTGGATTGTGTCTAGAACTTCGAGAGGAACGGATATGGCTACAGTACTCAATGCATTTCTGTGGAATCAAATTGCTCTTGCTCTAAATCCCTTCTTCTTTCGCTGCTGTATAAGGATGACCGATGTAACATAAAATTTCAGCATTCTTTTCTTGGTTTCTAACGAAATTTTCATGCTTACATAGATTTTGGGTGCTACCTAGCGTCTATGGAGTTGAGCTCATTACTAGATTGGCGGTGATATATCATCATTATACAGTCGAAAATGATTAATCTCCCAAAATGTGTAAATGCTTTTCAACTGTATAAATTAAAAAAAACAAAAAAAAAAAAAAAAAACATATGTTTTTTTGGTTGTTGTTTTTAAGGAGAGGCTGTCAGTGCTGAGAGAATTGTGTGTAAAATATATCTTTATTGAAAAAAAGAGAAAAAAAAAAAAATATATAAGCCATTTTGTTTACCGTTTATATAGGTTTCATTTAATGAAGTAATAGAAATAAAATTCTCTGTGATTTTAACGTTGACGTATAACATAACGTATATTAGCAGTAACTTAAATTAATTTTAACGCACACATATTTTTAGCTTACAGAAAAATAGTAATTGAACAATTGTGTTGTATAAAACAGTTAAATGTGTCGCCATATTTGACGTCTCAGACAAATTAGTGAAATAAGGAAATTCACGTGTCAAAAAGGGAAGCATATGGTAAAATAAAGTGCGATCTCATGTCACGTTTTCCCTTTTAAAGATTACATGGTTAAGTTTTTTTTCATCTTTCCTTTACAAGAATTGTCACACTCGGATATGATTTGTCGATCTCGCAACCTGGTGAAATCTGGTTTATTTTTTTAACGAGGCAAATCTACTTGATGTATTTTGAATTAGTCTTTCGTTTTTTATTTTTTTATTTTTTTATTTTTTATTTTTTGGCTTTCGTTGTTAGACTTTTATTTTATTGTGATTCTGTTTCTTTTTATTATTCGTACCTCCAGGCGTGACATTACATCAAACCTAAATATGAAGAAATTTTTTTTTTTTAAATATGTCTTTGACTGCTGAGCGTGTTGATGATTGCGGTTGGGGTTTTCGTTTTGTATATCTTTTTTTTCTTATATATATATATATATATATATATATATATATATATATATATATATATATATATATATATATTTTTAGCCACATTGATTTTTCTTCTATTTACTTTTTTTTTGCCTCCAATTTGTAATTCTAACTATCGGCATTATTTTCGCTTTTTCATTTAATCATTCACATAAGCATTCTTTTCTTTTCGACGCAGCGGAAGCAATTTCGTAAATAATATCTTTTTCTTCTTCGTCTTAAGCTTCTTTTCAATGGCATTGTTTAATATTTTTTGTCCCCCTTTCCGAAAATAAATGCCTTCTTTGGCCTACTATTTTTTCCTTCCTTCTTTCCCAGTTAAATGTGCGTTTTTTTTTTTTTGTCCTCGTCTTTCATTTAAAGCACTCATTCGTTGCCAATGCATTTTTGCCTTCTGTCTACTTATTTGCTCTTCGCCAAAGTCTCTTAATATTCCTTCACTTTCTTCATTAGGGATTTCATCTAAGACTTTTGTTTTATTCCACCTAATTGAATGTATTCGTAAAAGTGGTTTTGGCAGCATCCACCTTTTTCAAAGCCAATAGTTATGTGATTACATCATCCCATTTTCAAGTAGGGCTTTACCCTCTTGAGTTTTTATTCTTTCGTCTTTACGTAAGAAATCTCTCTCCATTTCTTTTCCCCTTCTTTTCTATTGAAAGCTTTCTTTGCTTACCTATTTTGTTTTATTACGTTGCGTTAATAGCGTTCATGGTCATCTGTAAGGGGATGAACCCAAAATGCGATTAGCAGATCGGGAACACTACAATCAAGGAGACACGGAAGTTTAAATATCTGGGAAGCGTCTTAACAGAGGGGGGCAGGTGCGACAGTGAGATCCGTCGACGTGTTGCGATGGCCAAGCACGCATTCCAAAAGCTGGGCAGAGTATTGCGAGACAGAAGGATTTCTTTGGTAGCAAAGAAAAGAATACTGATCCGTTATGTGACATCTGTGCTTCTTTACGACAGGGAAATTTGGACGATTAGACTCGAGACGTCTGAGATGTGGTACTACAGAATGATAACATGGACCGAGCGTGTGTGCAAGGATGAGATCTTAGAGAGGTTCAAATTTCCTCAACTTATTTTAACATCAGGAAGAGGGTAGCTGACAAATAATGAGGATGGAGGGCCTGGAAAATCTGATTTCACGGGTCGAATACTTTTTAACGAGACAAGAGAAAACAACTTTTAACTTCTTGGCTAGCCTTAAGAAAATTAGTAGGCTTTAAACTTATCATCCTTCCTCCAGCCAGTTTCTGGGACACATAACGAGAATGGAGGGTCTATAGAATCTGATATTTACAGGTTGTATAGAGGGAAAGAAAGACAAGTGAAAACAACGCGTGACCTGACGGGCTTAAGTAAGTGGATGACAAAACGTGGTCTGGGGAGGAGGAAGCATAGGGAAGGGACTTGTTGAGAGCTGCAAGAGATAGGAGGAGGTGGAGAACCCGATCGCCTACGTCCTGAAAGAACATGGCATATAAAAAGAAAGAAGCCTCTCGCATTTTGTCTGCTGCTATCACTTCCAAAACTTTTCTATACGTACTTATTTTCATTCGTTACTTTCAAAGATTTCTTTTCTCTTCTTACGCCATCTTGAAAGCCGACTTTATACGACCCATCCTTTGACCACTAAATTTTGTCTTCTTCCGCCACTTTCGGGTTTTACTAGACCCATTCCTGGCGCCACAGTCATAAATTATCTTGCCTACATAACTTATCTTCTACTTTCAAATTTTTCCTTCACGGCATCCATGTCTTTTTTTTCTAACGCGTATTAATTTCCAAACAAATTAGTCTTTCTACGCTATTATCTTTATCTAGATATCTTTGCTTTCTTCCGACATTTTCAAAGCATTTTTTCTAACCTATATGTTCTTTTCTTTGTTGCCAAAGAAATCCTCCTGTCTCGCAATACTCTGCCCAGCTTTTGGAATGGGTCCTTGGCCCTCCCAATACGTCTACGGATCTCAGTGTCGCACTTACCGTCCGCTGTCAAAACGCTTCCTAGATATTTAAACTTCCCTGTCTGCTTGATTCTAGTGTTCTCGACCTGCAAATTGCATTTCGGGCTCATCCTCTTACTGATGACCATGCATTCTGTCTTCTTATAGTTTATGCTTAGTCCTTTCTTCTCACTCTCCGTCTCTACCTTCTATAGGAGATTTTGTAATTCTTTTTCCGTGTCTGCTATCAGTTCTGTAGTTACATAATAAAAAACAGACTTGCCTTATTTTACACAGGTCCTCGACAAAATCCAAGGATTAATATACAATGTGATACGTCTAATCTACAATCGCTTTCTCACAGACGTGCCGTGGTTTCCCTCTGTCTCTTTTACAAGTATTTTCACGGCAACTGGTTCGACGAACAACTTTCGCGAGTTCCCAGACTGCATGAATTTAAGTGAGGTACTAGGGTGGCATCTCGGTCCCACCCTTTCACTGTTGAAACGGTTGTAACCGTCTCTTATACTCAAACAGCTTCTTCTCTTCCACTTCCCGTCTGTGGAACTCCCTTCCCCTTACTTGCTTCCCTGACGACTCTTAATAAGTCAGTTGTCACTCGGTACCGAGGTAGAACTTCTACAGACCAGAAGACAGCACACTTTCTTTGCTCACTAATCTTCACCTTCTTCCGTTGCTTTCAAAATACATCTTTAACGGCCTATTTCGCGTTCTACCATTACTTTTAACGCGTTATTTGCCTATCAAATCTTTGTATTTTCCCCCAACTTACAAAGCCTCCCTAGCTCACGTATTTTTCTTATTCTGTTGCTCCAACACATTCTTTGCCTTTCCATTTTTTTCTTGTCCTTGTTCTTTCTTTCGAAAGCTTTCTTTGTCCACCCGTATTTCTGTATGTTTCTCCACATCTTAAGTGTTCTATGCCGGGTCTTTTTTGTTCCCTTTCTAACCATATGAACGCATTCTTTTCCCATCCCCAGTGTTCTTTATGCATAGCTTTTATTGTTTTCATCTTTTCTTTAACGTGTTGTTTGCATAGCCATTTTAAACGTCTTCTTGTCGTTTTAAAGCACACTTTGCGTTTTTTTTCTTTGTATCCTTCCACCCTTTCAAATAGTTCTTTCTCTATATATTTTCTTGGTTTCATATCCTTTCAAGAGCCCTCTGTATTCACATTGCCATCTTCTCTCTCATTCAATGCCCTATTTACACACCTCTTTTGTCTTCCTCCGCGCCTTCAAATGCGACCTTCTTCCGACAGGTTTATGTGTGCATCGCCCAGGGTTTCCCGATGCCTCTGCACATCTGAATGTAGTCTTTTGAACTTTTTTCTCATTTTCCTTGCGCGAACGATTATGGTTCTTTTTCTTTTTCTTTTTTTTTTCTTTTTTCTATATTATTCTTGTTTTCTTCATTTTTTTCCTCTCGCCTTTCTGTATTCGTCTTCTCTCCATCTTAATTTTTTCTTATGTTTCTATTTTTGTCGCCTATTTTTAATTCTTTGTTTTTTTTTCCTTCCGCTTTTTTATATATATATATATATATATATATATATATATATATATATATATATATATATATATCTTAATTCTTATGCTTCGTTTCCTTTTTTTCTCCCTTCTTTTCGTTCTTTTTCTTCCACTTTGCTCCTTTATTCTTTTTTTCCTTTATTATTTTCTTCGTTTCTTTTTTTCCTTCTTATTTGATGTCATATTTGTTCTTTTTCGTCCATATCATTTCCCCCTTTTATACTTCTTTCTTTTTCTTTTTCTAATTCCTTCAGTGTTTTTTTTTCCTTTGTTTCTTTTGTTTTTTTATGTCCGTTTCCCAATAAGATTTTCTTATCTTCCGCGCATTCTTTATTTTTCTTTCATTTACGTTTCTTCTTTATTGTCTCGATATTTAGTTCTTCTTCTTCTTCTTTATTCTTCCTTCTCAATAAGATTTTCTTCTTTTTCTTCTTTCGTCTTTTCTTTTATTTTTATTTTCATTTCCTTTCTTTTCTTTTTTCTTCTTATTGTCTCGATTTTTTTTTCTTCTTCTTCTTTATTCTTCTTCTTTATCCTTCTTCTTCTCCTTTTTTCTTCTTCGTCTTCTTCTTCTTTTTCTTCTTCTTCTTCTTTATTCTTCTTCTTCTCCTCCTCATTCTTCTTCTTTTCTTCTTATTCTTCTTCTTCTTCTTTATTCTTCTTTTTTTCTCCTTAGTCTTCTTCTTTTTTTTCTTCTTCTTCTTCTTTTATTCTTCTTCTTCTTTATTCTTCTCTTCTTCTTCTTCTTCTTTTTCTTCTTCGTCTTCTTCTTCTTTTCTTCTTTTTTTCTTTTATTCTTCTTCTTCTCCTCCTCATTCATTCTTCTTCTTTTTTCTTCTTCGTCTTCTTCTTTTTTTTCTTCTTCTCTTTTTTATTATTCTTCTTCTTCCTCCTCCTTCCTTTTTTCCTTTTTTCTTCTTCTTCTTCTTTATTCTTCTTCTTCTCCTCCTCCTTCTTCTTCTTCTTTTTCTTCTTCGTCTTCTTCTTCTTTTTCTTCTTCTTCTTCTTTATTCTTCTTCTTCTCCTCCTCCTCATTCTTCTTCTTTTTCTTCTTCGTCTTCTTCTTCTTTTTTCTTCTTCTTCTTCTTTATTCTTCTTCTTCTCCTTCCTTCTTCTTCTTTTTTTCTTCTTCTTCCTTCTTTTTCTTCTTTTCTTCTTCTTTATTCTTCTTCTTCTTCCTTCTTCTTCTTCTTTTTCTTTTGTATAATTATTCTTTTTTCCTTCTTCTTCTTCTTATTCGTTTTTTCTATTAATATCATCCTTGATATTTTTATTCGTATTTTCCTTTTTCTTTCTTGTCCTTTTCTTCTTCTTTTTTTTTTTCTTTTTTCTTTTTTTCTTTTTCTTTTCTTCTTTATTCTTCTTCATCATCATCTTTCTTCTTCTTCTTTTTTTCTTCCTTATTCTCTTTATTCCTTCTTCTTTTTCCTTCTTCTTTTTTTTTTTCTTCTTCTTCTTCTTCTTTTTTTCTTCTTCTTCCTCCTTCTTCTTCTTTTTCCATGTCTTCTTCTCCTCATCATTATGGTCCCTCTCTTCCGTTTTTTCTATATCCTAGATATTTTTATTGTATTTTCTTTTTTTTTCTTTACTTTTTCTTTTTTTTTTTTCTTTTTTTTAACATTCTTCCATCATCATGGGATCATCATTTTTTTCCTTCATTTCTTTCTTCTTCTTTTTTTTTTTTTTTCTTCTTTCTGTTTTTCTTCTTTTCCTTTCTTCTTCTTCTTTTCCATTCTTCTTCTCTCATCATTTCTTCTTTCCTTCTTTTTTTTTTTATCCACCTCTGGGTTCTTTTTTTTTTTCTTCTTTTTTTCTTCTTTTTCTTTTTCTTCTTTCCTTCTTCTTTTTCTTCTTCTCTTCTTTTTTCCTTCTTCTTTTTTCCTTCTTCTTTCCTTCTTTCTTCTTTTCTTCTTCGTTCATTATTTCCCTATGCTTGTTCTTTTATTTTCTTTTCCTTCTCTAATTTTCTCTTTCCAATCTTTTGCATTTTTATTATTTTTTTCATTTCGCTTTTATTTTTCTTGTGTCTCTACATTTTAGTGTTTTTCTTCTTTTTCTTTCCCTTCTTCTTTCTCGTATATATTTTTTTCTTTTTGTTACTGTTATCTTTCCTTTTTCCTCCGAATTTTGGCCATCTCTTTTGTCGATGTTTTTTTTTTTTGGCCATTCTCTTCGCATTTGCCTGTCAACCTCCTCCTCTTCCTTCGTCTTCTTCTTCTTGTTTCTTCTTTTTCTTCTTGTTTCTTCTTCTTCCTGTTTTTTCTTCTTATTATTATTTCTTCTTCTTCTTCTCCTCCTCCTTCTCCTCCTCATCATTCTTCTTCTTTCGTCTTTTTCTTGGTTCTTCTTCTTCTTCTTTCTTGTTTTTCTTCTTCTCCTTTTTTCTTCTTGTTTCTTCCTGTTTCTTCTTCTTCTTCCTGTTTCTTCTTCTTCCTGTTCCTTCTTTTTTTCTTCTTCTTTCTTCTTCCTTATTTTGCTATATCCTTTTGCCTATTTTCTCATCATTGTGTATATCTGTTCGTCGTGTTTATTTTTCAATTCATTTTCTTCCCTTTTTTCTTTTCCTTCCTTTATTTCCATTTATTTCCAAATTTCTTTCTTCTTTCTTTCTTTCTTCTCTCTTTCTATTCTATATTTCTCCTTATCTCTTCTCCCTCCTTTAACTATTACATTCTCACAATTCTTTGCTAGATTCCTTCCTTCTCAAGGAAACAACCTGTATTCTTTCTTTCTTTCTTTCTTTCTTTCTTTCTTTTCTTTCCTTTCCTTTTACACCTTTCTGTTACACTGATCTTCCTTATCTAAGGGCACCACATGACCACATGGAATATCATTTTTCAAACAGGCTTCTCTGCCTCCCCTAACATTCGTCCGTGCATAACACTCTGGGCCAAAACAGCGACCGTGGGAATTTACAAATACCAATATGTTTCTTCTTTCACGATTTAGAAGTAGACTAACGCTTAGAGCCAATAATACAGGCTGGCCACAAAAGATATAGACATTTTCGAAATTTTATTAGACAAAACAATACTGAACTGTTATGCAATATCTATCATATCCTAGGGCAGTGAATGATAAACAGTTTCATTACATATGCTTGTAAAATATTCGGCTTCGTGTATCACATCAGAAGGTACCTGACTGCGTCTTCAATGTCCTAGGAACCATATGAGATCATAAATGGAATACTTCTGATATACCGTTGCTGGAGTTGCCCAGTCATCACTTCCTAGGTTTTGAAAGACTTCAAAAGGGTTTACGTGGCTTTGTAGATGATTAACTATTTTCCACCCTACAACCACTTTCCCACAGACAAAAAGTCGCAAGCCTATCGCTACTCTATCGCTAATATCCTGTGACAACTGTCCTCACCAGATACATGCATTAGTTCCACTAGTTCAGACCATCATAGCTAAGACGCACTAGGGAGGATCTGAACTAATAGAAAATCTTCCCTGTTCTCTTCGTATTCCAATAGTAACAAAGAAGTTCCATTCGGACTGCTTCTTCCCAAGAACCGCTAATTTTTGGAACATATTCCCAAAAGCATGTATAAATAATCTCTTCAAGTCAAAGGTCAACCGATATCTTTGCTACATATCCTCATAATACGCACTGTTCATACAACGCCCTTATTTAGTAACTCTTGTTTTCAGTATTTTGTGGCAAAGCTGTCATTCCAGTTGCCTTAGAAATTTCAACTGTCGCTTTTTGAGTCTTAATGTCCATTTTGTTTCAAATTTCTCTAAATCTTCTGCGCTTCTAAACATCTTTGTGTAGAACTACTTTCTTTGTACAAAACTTCTTCGCAATGCTTTTCACAATATATCCGCAAACGGTGAATATTTTTGAGTTGATATCTAAGGATATGGGAGAAGCGTTTGGATTTTCTCTGCCAAGACACTCGGAATGAAAATAGAATCGCTTGCAATTAATCGCAGCGTGTGGCAGTTTTAGAAAGTGCCTGAAAACCATACAATGTGTTTTCCTGAAAACCATCCCAAAATAAGTGCCTGAAAACTATGCCATGTGTTTTCCCAAGACTAATGCCTGAAAACCATACCTGGTGTTATCCCAAAATAATTACATGAAAACTATACCACGCGTTATCAAAAGACTAGTGCGCGAAAACCATACCACATGTTTTACCAAGGCTGGAACCTGAAAAACATACAACGTGTTATCCCAAGACTTATGCCTGAAAAAGTTACCACGTGTTATCACATGACTAATGCCTGAAAAACCCGTGTCTGAAGACAATACCACGTGTTATCACAAGACATGAGCCTGAAAGCAATATCAGGTTTTATTCCATAACTAATCTGAATGCTATACGATGTGTTATAGAAAGGCTAATATTTTCTCCAAAATTCATTGCTGGTAATATTTTTTTTTACAAAAATGTATTGCTGGTATTAATACCTATTTTTACACTTTCATATCGTTTTGTCCCCAGCTTGGAGTTAACTATTTGCCCATAGTGGCACCTTAACGGGTGATACCACCTCGGGTTAAGGTGGACCTGGAAAAACCGGCAATTAAGTGGTGGTTCCACGCTTCTGATCAGAGGCCTTGCTGTCGGGTGTAGTTTATCGTCTTACCGAGGAGGCTTCCTTTACCCTACTGGATTTCGCAGTTAAGTTCGCTTATTCCCAAATTTATTTGCAAATTATAAAAATTGTTATCGTACAAAATTCGTCGTAAGAAAAATCACCGAAAAGAATCGCAGTTATAAAAAAAAAATGTGACTCCAAAATTTCAGAATTGAGAGTCCAGATTCGACTCGGAAGGTTTTTTAATTTGCTCCCAGAGACGGCCTAAATTCTAAAATATTATATCTTGGGTAACGCCCTCTAGGAGGAAATTTGAAGAAGTGTGACACAGTGACACACTGACATTCGCTTTTATTATACAGATGTTTTCGATCGAAATGCAAAAGCACATCTGAATAGCAAAAGATGGCTTTCAAAAGCTAAGCAAAGTAATAAGAAACAAGCAACCATCGTCAGAAACAAAGGAATTATTGTTAAACGTCTTTGAAAACTCCTATACAACACCAAACCTCCTATATACCAAAGAAAGCAGGAAAAAGTTCCTCACAGATAAGCATGTGACATGACACATCAGAGGGGGAGTTCAATTAAAGGGTGCTGAAAATACCATGGAACGTGGTAAGTAACGTGGAAGATATTTTTAGAGGAAGATGGATAACAAATATCCATAGTTAAAATCAGAATGATTTTAAATTTCTGTGACACATAATGAGGAAAGACGCCTTGTCGAATCTGACACCCATGTGGCATTTTTAAAGAAAAGAGCAGAAGAAAACGTCAAAAAAACAAATTGCCGAACCTCTGTAAATGGATGGCAGGACAGAGACGAGGAGGCAAACATTGGGTAGTAAGTTTTCGGGAGCCATGATCGCCCACACCCTGAAGAGGAGGCACGCCACATAAATGCAGAAGTAGTCACATTTTTCAGGTGCTACTCTAAATACGGGTGTCAGTTGCACAGGATGTGGCAGACATACATCCCATGTACACCTACTAGAAATACTTCCCATATAATGGTAAGGCATTCGCTAGATCAATGATTCTCAACTTGTGGGGCATGTTTAACCGGTGATGCATGGTAATATTTTGATGTGGCATGTGTAGGATATGCACCCTTCGGCTTACCAACGTGAGCTCAAATTTAATTTTGCATTATTATATCATGTTTAAAAAGATCAAAGTATATTACAAAATATGCTTCCATTCAATTATTTTATAATTCTGCCTTTCTGTTCTCTTTTATATGTTTTGAAACTATATATATTTAACTGTCTTTTTGTTTGTGTAATTTTTCTCTTCCATGAACGCCATGGTTTGGGGGGGGGCTTATTTAGAGACCAAGTTAATAGCCTTTTCAGCTTCCTCCACGTGAATTGCAGTAAGATTTTGAATATGTAATAATTAAGTATTACATGGGGACACCAGAATTTTAGAAATACCAAAGTGAAGTATGGCCCCAAATTGGTAAAGAACCACTGCTTTCATGTTTTTGAAACAAAAAATATTTGCACGTCTGACCTTCCTTAGTGAAAGTCGCCAATGGTTTAAAATGATGAAAAACGACGAAAGTTTAAAAAAAAAACAAAAAAACAAAAAACATTGCATTTAATCTTTGTTTTGGTATGAGGTTTTGCATTATTATTTCATAATTAAAATGATCAAAATATATAAGCATTCATTCAATTATTTTATAAATCTGCCTTTCAGTTCTCTTTTATATGTTTTGAAACTATATATTCAACTGTTTTTTGTTTGTCTATATTTCTGAGATGAGGTATTATGTACATTATTTACATTATTCGGATTATTGTTCTCTTTTGTCACCATATTTATCACAACGTTTCGGCCGTTATATGACGTTCTTCAGGTGGTTGGAATTTCGAACTGAATGTTTTTATTTCGATAGATTGTTCTAGTTCCACGTGCCATGTTTAATGGATGTCCGTTATCAGTTATCTTTGCTAATTTCTCTGAAAGTTTTTCCATTACCCAACTGGTATTGAACTCACAGTTTTTGGGTCCTGTCATTTGGATCTAACGCATTTTATGCCATGTGTTCTTTGAGGACAACTAATGTCTTCAGTCAACCATAACAGCAAAATTGTAATATGAGCACTGGTAAAATTGCAATTTTGCTGTTATGGTTGTTGAAGACATTAGGTTTATAATACCCAGAAATTCATACCCAGATGTCCTCAAGAACACATGGCACAGTGGATAAAGGCGTTGGTTAGATCCAGTGACAGTATCCAAAGGGTGTGAGTTCAATACCCGGCTCAGAGGGAAATTAGCATCCATGGCACGTGAAACGAGAACAGTTTACCCAAATGTGCGAAATAATGGGTTCAGCTCAAAATTCCAACCACCTGAAGAAGGCCGGTGCGTACAACGGCCGAAACGTTGTGATAAATTTGGCGACGAAGATGAGGACAATAGTACAAATAATGTTTTTTGTTTGTTTAATTTTTCTCCATCATGGACGTCTTTGTAGGCTTGTTTAGAGACTAAGTTAATGGCTGTTTAAGCTTCCTTCACATGAATTGAGTAAAATTTTGAATATGTAAGAAATAAATATTACAGGGAGCATCAAAATTTTAAAAATATCAAAGTGTGACATGGTCTAAAATCCGTTAGGAACGATTGCGATAGATTGTGTATGTGTGTGTGTGTGGGGGGTAATTCTTGGATGTGTATATGGGAAGTAATTCTGCCGCGCAGGGTATTATATAAGGGTCTTGGAATTCTTAAATTAATCTTTATCTCAATCCACGGGAGGGGACTGTTACCAATTTGCTGCTCATGTCAGGGGAGATAAGTCTTGTAGGTTAATTATTTTCTTATCTCGTTCTTTTGTTAATTTGTCCTTGTAATGCAAATTATGTTCGTTCGCGAAACCCCTGTGGAAAGAATTCAGAAGATGTGATGGCCTACATCGTTTGTAAATAAGGTAATTGCGAGAACCAGCAAATATGCTAGCCTCTGATAGCATCTTCACAAGAATTAGCATAGACGAACACAATATCGAAGTATTTGATCAGTAAACATTAGGTTCGAGATCCGGGAATTACGTCACCAGATTTATTTCTTATTTATAGCTTATCCCGCCTACAGTGAAGTAACTGAAAATCATACAACGGTACGACCGAAAATATGTGAACGAAATTGGGCCGACGAAACTATTTAGAAGCTGTAGATGATATCTGTCTATATTTCTGAGATGAGGTATTATGGACACTATTTACACTATCCGGACTATTTTCCTCATCTTTTCCGTCATATTTATTACAACGTTTCGGCCGTTATACGCTCCGGCCTTCTTCAGGTAGTTGGAATGTCGAACCGAACCCTTTATTTCGCTCACTAGATTTTTCAAAGACACGTAGTACAGTGGATAAAGATGTTGGTTAGATTCAATAACACGACCCAAAAAGTGTGAGTTCTATACCTGGTTAAGGCGGTAGAAAGCTTGGATAGGGGAATTAACAGGAGATAATTGATAATTGACATCCATTAGTCATGGCTCGTGGAACTAGGACAGTGAGCGAAATAAAGGGTTCAGTTCGACATTCCAACCACCTGAAGAAGGCCGGAGCGTACAACGACCGAAACGTTGTAATAATAATAGTCCGAATAATGTAAATAGCTGTCGATAACAGTGCTAGTGTGACGTCGTCCCCCCTGGTCGCAGCGTCGACTGTGTCGTTCGATCTCGTTCGCGGCGCCAACTGTGACGTGACGTGGTCCAGGGTTCTGATCCTATGGTCACGACACCAGTTGTGACGTCTTTGCCGCGGCGTCAGCTGTTCGCTCCTCGCTGCTCCAAGTGTGACGTTCTAACCCTTTGGTTAGATGAATACCAGCCTCGTCGTTCCCAACTCGCTTCCAACGCCTGGTTACTAGGGTAACTGCACTGATCTCCGGTCTGCCTACCCACGTTGTGATTAGATCTTTAGACAGACGGGATCAAACAGGGATTGGGGCCGTATGCAAGCTGAGTCCAACGGGGGTGATAACACACAGAAAAAAAAGAAAAACTCACAAGGTCAAAAATTATTGAAGACAAAGGTAACAACTTTTTATATCTAAATGTTCGTTACACAAGATTATTCCTACCTCCTGACCCGTTCTGTGGACCATGGCACCAAGTTTCTACCATACAACTTTAAGGCTTCGTGTTGCCTGCTCTCTAGAAATTTGCATTTCGGGGTGTGGTTTGGTTTCGACACTGGGCGCTGATCTCTACCTGTCGTTCACGGCTGATTTCTCTCGTCGTCCGTGGCTGTAACTAACTCTCTCCTCAGAGTCTGAACTATTGTTCACTCATCTCTGCCGTCAGTGCGCGAACTAACTTCTTCTTCGGCTTCGGTTGGACGAGCTTATTCACTTCGGCTTGAGTTGGGCGAATTTCTTCACTTCGACTTGAGTTGGGCGAATTTCTTCACTTCGACTTGTTGGACGAATTTCTTCTTAGGCTTGGTTTGATTCCAACTCCTCCACTTAGGCCAAACGGCTGCTTCACTTCGACTTCTCTTTGCCGCAAAGGGGACTAATGAACAGGGCCCGCTGTCCGCGCTACAACTCCAACTCCAAATTCGTCCGAGGCGCAACCCCCAACTTTCTCTTCAGCTTCTCTTGCCCGCAAGGAATGAACCGGGCCCGCAAGGTCACAAATTCACATCGGTCCAACCAAATATGTTAGCTCTATCTCTGACATTGTGCGCTTTCAAATAAGTGCTGCACACACACACACACACACACACACATATATATATATATATATATTGGAATAGATGAGTTACATTTCATTAATCTGGCACCAAAACGCCCTACCTAAC